ACTGTGAGACTCCATTTGGTTAGGTGTTAATAGATAGTCCATTAACAAAGAGGAAAAAAGCAAAGCTGGCGATAGTTTTTTCTTCAATTTTATATTTTAAAATATAAACTGTGGAAAAACATTTTACATGGAGGTTATCTTCTAAAGACGGCACTTCAGATAAAAATCATGGCTCATCGCCAGGCGCGGTGGCTCACGCCTGTAATCCCAGCATTTTGGGAGGCTAGGGCAGGCGGATCACGAGGTCAGGAGATCGTGATCATCCTGGCTAACATGGTGAAACCCCGTCTCTACTAAAATTACAAAAAATTAGCCAGGCATGGTGGCAGGCGCCTGTAGTCCCAGCTACTCGAGAGGCTGAGGCAGGAGAATAGCGTGAACCCAGGAGGTGGAGCTTGCAGTGAGCCAAGATCACGCCACTGCACTCCAGCTGGGCAACAGAGCGAGACTCCGTCTCACAACAAACAAACAAAACACATGACTTATCAAAATTGCCTTTTAAACCCTTAAATTGTCCACAAAGTATAGCAAAAAACTCCTTCTTCCCAGTGGGTCCACTGGAGCCAATTTCCAGCTCCGGAACAAGTTGCTGTTTCTACAGTTTTGCTCCAGATGAAGGTGGAGGAATTGGCTTATTTTAGGGGTCATGTGGCTGAAAAATATGTACCTAGATTTAAAGATAGAGCAGCAAGATGCTCACTCTGTGAGAAGCACATGAGAACAGAGATTGATGGAGGGAACCCCAGATGCAAGTATCCCATCTCACACTTACTCCAGGAAACCCAGTTGCTGAATCATTGTACTGGTTATATTATTCTCTCTCTCTATGTCCCCATGGAACATGTATAACTGAATTTGAGGGAGTTAAAAATACATGTAAGTTATGATTTCATCATGTGAAAGAAAAATACTCATCATTATTATAAGGTGTTCTCATAGTAATGTTTTTATATTTACAATAATCTGCTTTTAAAAAATTGTAGGCTGGGTATGGTGATTCACACCTGTAATCCCAACACTTTGGGAGGCCAAGATGGATGGATCGCTTGAGCTCAGGAGTTCAAGACCAGCCTGAACAACATGGTGAAACCCCGTCTCTACCAAAAATACAAAAAATTAGCTGGCCATAGTGGTTCCAGCTACTCAGGAGGTTGAGGTGGGAGGACTGCTTGAACCTGGGAAGCAGAAGTTGCAGTGAGCCGAGATCATGCCACTGCACTCCAGCCTAGGCGACAGAGTAAGACCCCATCTCGAAAGAAAGAAAGAAAGAAAGAAAGAAAGAAAGAAAGAAAG